GCTAAATAAGAGAAATTTTGAGAATACCAAGTGCTGTAAGTAAAACAAACAACATCTATCTCATTTTTCGTATGTTTTCAGGCACCTGTTTTTTTTTGTTCTGAAATTCCTTCATTAACATCTTCCTTCTTTAAAAAAAATAATAAAAGACAGACAAATTAAATTTGAAGTTTGCTGGAAAATGATCACACCACTTCCTAAAATCTTGCCAAATAAGCAATTATAAGAATTTGTTTTGCAATCAGTTCTTGACTGAGCCAAGATCTTTTCAGCACCCACTTGTATATTCTTCAAGTTATCGGCTATATCATACGAGAGTCTTCTTTCTAATCAAATATTGACTATTTACTGTAAAATTAAGCATTCAATGCATTGATTTAATATCCCAATATAAACAGTGCTCCAATTATATTAAGGTTGTAAGAAACAATATTCTTTTCTCTTGTAACTAATGCAGACACTACTTATTTTGATAGAATGCCAATGGAGGTTCTTGAATGCCTATTATAAAAAATTATCTTGAAACCATATACTTTGGTCTGTTGCTTGGAAATGGACTGTCAGTATTTTTAAAGAAGCCGTTAAAATAAAGATCATCTTTTGTATATATTCTCACTTCTGTAATAATATTACACCCTCCTTGCTCATCACTCCCCACCATGTAAACACCCACTCCTTAAATTCAAGACCTGACAGTATTGACTTTCGCAGGTTTTGTTAAGTGTACCAGTGACCATGTTTATAAGAATTTTCTTATTTAGCTTTAAGGCAAATGTCTGTCTAATTTAATGCATTGCAAAACTAATCAGATTTTCATTTTAGTTTCAAAATTCTTCTATGAAAAAAAAATCTTCCATAAGGATTTCAATTATATTTTTATGAAAACTCCACATATTTCAGTTTGGGGAATATAACCAATTTTAAACAGACATACAATTTTCAGCTACTGTTTGCGTATTGCATATACCTAGGTGCATCAATAAGTTTGTAACCTAATGATTTATAAAAAGAAACATTGAGTTTACTCAGTAAATATTTATAATAATAATTTTCTTTTTTGTTAATGCACTCATCACTTGTTTATTAATCACTGAGATCAAAACTTACCTAATAAATGTGTCAGGTTATAGACTTATTGGTGCACCTTCATCTATCTATCTGATTCTGTACATCATGTTCTATCAATCTATTAATTCTTGACTCAGCTCACTTCTCAAAATTTGACCAGCTGAATAACATCATTTTTTTTTTTTTTTTTTTGAGAAGCTTCTTAGTCAGGCTGAGAACTTTTACATGCCTCTTTGTGTATGTGTGTATGTATGTATGTATATATATATATATACATACACATACACACTTTTTTTTTAATCATTTCACTTAAGACAAGGCAGTAAGTAATGCCACTAATACGCAGGGTGTTACAGAGAGTGAAAGTGAGGAAGACTGAGAATAGGGAGGATTGAGGAAAAGACAAAAGATGAATGGGGTTCAAGAAGACCAAAGATGGTGACTGAAGTTGTATTTAAATTTTTGAAGATTGTAATTATCAGGAAAGCAAGTAAATGGAAGGAAGTTCCACAGGTGGAAAGTATGAGAAAAGAAATTGTTGGAGTAGAAGTGGTGATATTATTTTTAGTGGATCCCCATATTTGAGTAGATGCTTCGTTTATTTTAAACACTTTACTTATTATTGTCTACTGGCCTGGATATCTGAGAAATCTTATTAATATTAGAAAAGTATGTACCTGCTGGTAGAATTTGAACCTGTGTCCTTTTTGCAGGAGAAACTGTTGTTAGATCTGACATACTTAAGACTGCCTCAGGCTTGAAGGGCATTGCCGATCAAACAAGGCTGAATAGTGTCTTTAAGTGAAATCCTTCTCATCACAGATTCTCAAAAGTTTATTTCTGTTCAGTTTTGTATCCAAACGTAAACAAAGCAATTTCTAAAGAAAGAATGGATTTTTAAAAATTTTATTTAATGATTTCACAGAGTAGATACCCATATTTTAGTAAATGCTCCATTTATTTTAAACAGTATATATATTTATATAATAAATGTATGGTTTAAAATAAACTGATCATCTACTCAAATGTTAGTATTCACTAAAAATAACATTTTAAGTGATAAAAAATTGTCAGATTATTAAAATAAAAGAAAAAAAAATCAATTTTTTCCTTTTTATATATATATATATATATATATATATATATATATATAAATTCAATTTCCAGTAACAGGCTACAACCGCCAGTTTCATATGTTTTCATGCAGTCAGTAACTGTTGTGTGTGAAAATTGAAACTTTATACCTTTAGCCAAGTCCAAGATGGTAAAAGTGTAGCCAATACATGCATATCATACACACACCAAGTTTTATTCTCATATATATATATATATATATATATATATATATGAAAATGTATGACAAAGTGGAAAAAGTGTTCCTGTCATGTATTTTGTCCTTTAGGACTTCTTCAGACTAAATTTGTTGTGTTGATATGAATACACATGTGCATGAACAAGATATGCTGGGAATTTTAAATTTAAATTTTTTTTTTTTTTTTTTTTTTTTTTAATCGAGCCGATGTCATTTAGCTTCTTTTTCTTTCCATCATTTTATGCCCTGGCTCTTACAACATTTCATCATTCCTGGCAGAACTTCTATTATCACAGTGTGACATATCTACTAACAAAAGTGATGAAAAGAAAATGAAAACAAATCTAAATGAAATCGGCTAGATTAAAAAAAAAATTTAAATTTAAAATTCCCAGCATTCCTCGTTTGTGTGCATTTGTTGTCGCACCAACATAACAATTTTAGTCCGAAGAAGTTTTAAAAGTCGAAATGCAATCACAAGAAAACTTTTTCCACTTTGTCATACATTTTTCCCCAATATTGTTCTTGATATATAAAAATATATATTGTCATCTTTGTGTGTGTGTGTGTGTATATATATATATATATATATATATATATATATATATATATATATATGAAAGAAAAAAATACAGAAAAAACAAAATTCTGAATATGCATTATTAATGTTAAAATAAAAGTCGACGTCGGACGTTTGGGGTCTATTTAAGACCATCTTCATGGACATTTTCATTTAAACATAATTAACATTATAACTTATAACAATTTAACACAAAGACGATGGACATAAGAGCCCAACTAATTCAGACAGATAACTGAAATTTTATACAGATCAGCGTTCTGTTTAAATATGATCACGTAGTAAATCACGTGGGCGATGTTGTTAAGACGTATTCAAGATGATTTCCAAAAATTGAAAATATCAAAAAGTTGAATGAAAAATTTTTATAAACAATTAAAGAAATCTCTTCCGTTGATGTTGGAATACGTAGTGATCAATTGGTTCTTATATCTTCAACAAGCTTGAAAGTCTTTCCCGTATTGCCCACGTGACGACTACGTGATCATATTTAAACAGAACGCTGATCTGTATAAAATTTCAGTTATCTGTCTGAATTAGTTGGGCTCTTATGTCCATCGTCTTTTGTGTTAAATTGTTATAAGTTATAATGTTAATTATGTTTAAATGAAAATGTCCATGAAGATGGTCTTAAATAGACCGAAACGTCCAATGTCGACTTTATTTTAACATTAATAATGCATATTCAGAATTTTGTTTTTTCTGTATTTTCTTTCATACTGTCGGATTTATATCCATATATTTTATATATATATATATATATATATATATATATATATATATATATATATATATATATATATATATATGTGTGTGTGTGCGTGTATGTTTTCTATTGTGTATTCAGTCTTTACTTCTCAAAAAAAAAAAGAGGACGTTAGGATCTTTTGCACATTCTTATATGATTTTAAAATTTATATAACAAAATCAAATCAAAGTTTATACCTATTCAAATTTTTGAAACATAAGTGTAAAAAATATTTTAATATTCTACTTACATTTTCCTCTCAGTCTGTTCACTGAATATATTTTTAGCAATTCAATTCTGTTATTAAAGTGAACATTTCATGTAATGCTCTTCCTTCAGCATTAGTATTATTACAGATTTGGAAAGCATATAAAATATTTAGCCTTCTTTATTTGGGTTTATCACGTCTGTCTCAATTCCTTCATGGAATAATGAAAAAGGCTGCAATATACTTCAGGTGTTTCGTTTCTGGACTCAAATCTCACTTGCATTTAATGAATAGCATCGTATGAGGCATTTGTAGATGATAATTTTCAGAGAGGTGCTAGTTTCAACGATATGATGATAAACAGGATTTAAGCTCTGATATAAATGTTAGTGCAGATTTCCTTTTTTCTGGGTCTATTTGTATTTTTCATCCTTTAACCCGGATGTTGTATTGTTGGTTAGAATTTTAGCTGGCCATTAATGTTATGGTTGGAAAGTTAACACCAGAAAATTCATTTTTGTTGCTAGCAAAATGTAAAGGAATTTTTATCTTCATTCTGTTTTTTTTTTTTCCTTATTTTTTAAATTTATTATGTTAGCAAGTAATTGTGTTCAAATTGTTGATTTTCCTAAAAATCTCTTTGTTGGTCACACTTTAATTTCAGTGTAAATGTTTAATGCTAATTTTTGATAATTTTGAGTAGCGTTCTTTATCGTTTATAGACTCCAGAGTTTCGTTTTTAATCTTTTTCACTTTTATCATTTTTTATAAATTTTATTAACATCTTTTGCATAAAATTTGTATCTTTTCCTTTTTTTTTTATTTTGTGAGTCATTATTTTCTGGCTAGAACTAATATATATATATATATATATACTCTCTTTGGCATGCTTGTTGGAGAAGTCTTCATCTAAAATCTCTTCTTAATGATAATTTTTATAACCTAATCCTCATTTCACAACTCTTGTGACTTCTTCCTTCTCCTCCATTGTTCTTCTCTGCATTTTGTCATTCAGACTTCAGCTTTAGGATTTAATTTTTTGCACAATTTGTTTTCCTTTTTCTTTTTCTTTGAAATAATCTAGGAAGTATGGGTCCCCCTGGAAATATTCGTTTGCCGGAAAATCATAATACTACTTCAGCATTTGACCTGTTTGATGGTGAAGGCAATATGAATGGTTCCTACAACCTTGAGGCATTGCCCCCACACATTTCACTGCAAGAGCATCATGGGAACTTTGGTTCTGGCATCACTGAAACTAATGATCTTATAATTGCTGAATCAGAGACTGCTCTACATTCGGGTAGGACATGTTCAACTACTGCTTTGCTTTTCTACTAACAGTCCTGCCTCAATTACTAACAATACCTACTATTTTTATTATTTTTACTATTGTAGTAAAAACAATCTGGCTTCACTTCCCCGGTTGATTGTATCTAACCCTTTCTTTTGTACAAACTTTAGCATTGTCTCTTGTATCATTACTACTATTGTTATCAGCTATCAAATGATCATTAAATTACTGAGCAGTCATACTGTATTATTACTGGGATCTCTTATTTTCATCTATTATTAGTTAATGCACCAGTTTTTATCGAATCAGACTCCTGTGAAGATAAAACAGGAGTAAGCTCCTTCCTGGAGTGATAGAGCTAACTGACAATTTTTCCAGCATATTCCAGCAGTATAATGCAGTTTACCCTCAACATGTCTGGCTACAAGAAATGGGTTCCAGGAACATTTGGCTGACTTCCCAGTAGTCTGTTGGATTCCTACCATTTTTTTTGTAACTAATTGTTCACCCAATACAACACCCAGAAGTTTTTGAAGCTAGAGGATTACTAAATAAGGTTGTTGTTGTTTGTTTGTTTGGTTTGGTTTGTTTTATGGCTTATCAACCTCCATGGGTTATTTAATGCTGACAAAATTTTTATTGCTGGTAAGTTTGTTTTTTTTTTTGTCAAAAAAATGTCTTGCTAGTAATAATTTTTTTACAAAGTATTTCTGGTATTAAAACCTATTTTTACACTTGTGTAGTATTTTGACCCAAGTTTGAGGTTTAACTATTTGCCCATAGCTGGGACCCTAACAGGTGCTACCACCCCAGGTCAGGATGGACCTGGGAACATCAGCAATTAAGTAGTGGTTTCACGCTCCTCAAAACCTTCTAAAAAAACAGAGGCCTTGCTGTTGGATGTGGTTTATCATCTTACTTAGGATGCGGATGTAGTTTATCATCATACCCAGGACTGACGGTTGTTGTATAAATGTAAGAAGAGGAAGTAAGGAATGCTGATTATAAGAATATGTAGGAAAGATAATAGTTAATCCCAGTTAAGATTGTAGTTATTGGGGAAGCATCCTCTCAGGAGTTTGTTTCATAAAGTAACAGTTCTTAGGAAGAAGTAGTCCAAATGGAACTTCTTTCTTACTAATGGAATATATCTTGAATGGAGATAGTTCAACTCAGGGTATGTGGTTTGGTGTGTCTTAGCTTTGCTTACCAGATTTAAACTCTATTGACAGAACATGTTACTGACACCAGATATATTGATGATGAGTGTCTGGCAGCTGATCTCTCCACTGATCTAACTCTTACAGTTCAATGTGGAAAAGACTGGCTGATATTCACAAAACTAAACTCATAACATTTCATCACCACTGAGCAGACCTCAAACCTGTACCAATCCTGATGAGTGGTTATACTCTCAAGAAGTCTCCTTGCCTCAAATACCTATGTCTAAAGCTCAATCCAAACCTTAAATGGAATGCATATATTCATGTCATCACAAAAGATTCTAGAAGAATTCTCAGTTCATTGTATTGCTCCAGGAAACTTAACTAAATAACTTCTGTTGTCATTCTCTAACTTTATAAAAGTCAAATCAAACCAAAAATGGAGTATTGCTGCCATATTCAATCTGGAGCTGTCCAATCCTCATGGTCCAGATCCAACAGAGTTCAAAAGTGCTTATGTAACCTTGTGAGTGATTAATTATTCTCCACCTTGTAACTCTCATTCTACAGATGAAATGTTGCCTGCTTTTCATTACTATATTGCTATTACTATGGCAGATGTTTAAACGAGTTACATTCCTTAGTGGTACCAGCTTGGACCCACCATGCCATGCTCATGGTGGCAAACTATCCCCTTCATGTTTCTTTGATAAAAGCAAGTTCCAGTCAGAAAGCTTCTTCCCCAAAACTGTTACTTTGTAGAACAGACGCCCAAGAGAATGCTTCCATGACAACTACAATCTTGGTTTCTTTAAGTCCAGGGTCAACCCTGATATTTATCCTACTTGTCCTTATAATACTCTTTTACTGCACTCTTCCCCCTACCTTACAATTTCACTCATTAACCCTCTGCCTTGAGTGACTCTTAGGCTTTGTATTTAATGAACTATTGGTTCATTCATTTTCATTTTATTCGGTTATTGCATTTGTCGCCACTGTGGTCACCATTCCCCTTCATCTCACAATTGTGGTTCATGGTGACATTCAAGGCAGAATAGTGTAATGGCTTGCCAGTTCATTTTGCACTAGGGATGTTGAGGTTACTCTGTCCCTCCTCTCAGAGATGGATTTGTTTTTGAAGTTACTTTTTTCTAGCCTTTACTGAAAGAGGCAGTACCTACAAGACAGCAGGTGGTTTGAATTCAAAGTTTCCTTCTCCTAGACTGGTTGCCACCCAAAGCTATAGGGCCCAGTCTGTCCTGATATTTTACTCATAGAACTATCAGTAAATAAAGAAAAAGGACATCACTGAATTCTTTGCAGCCTGGATAGATATACATATACAATGACTACAGCACTTTGTAGGTTGCCTGTCACCTTGTATAGCGGTCATTATTTCAAGTGAAGAAAGGGACTATATCTTATTAGGTTATTAGCTTCCAACTTTCTGGCACATCAGTTCATATTTATGTCTCTAGAATGAACTAAAGACCTAACACTGATAAAAAAATAAGTAGTCCTAGAGCAAGTGTAACAATCACATCCGCATTTCTTTGTTGATAGGAACACCTTCATTAGCTGCAAGAGTTAAATGTCTACAACTCACTAGCTAAACCTTCCTTACTTTTCATGATGGAATTCCCAAGTGAAATTCAAGCTTGTAGAAGTGTGTTGACCCTGTGACAATTTCTGTTGAAAAAAAAATAACAGCAGGTAGTGTCTTTACCAAACTTTGCATCCAACCTTTGTAATTCACCTGAAAACTATTGTGTCATTACTTCTGCTATCATTCTTATCTACACCAGTCTTGTCTCTCTAACAGTGGACAGTGCTGAAATATTCTCGGCCTAACCTACTTCCCAAAATTGGTATACTGATTTTTGGGAAGTGGGCTGGTTCAAGAACTTTTCAGCAACTCCTTGATATTACAATAGCTGTGGACACCTCCTCACTAAACCGTATTTGTTAAAATAAACACATTTTGTCATTTAGCCACATTTACTAAGCTTATAGTGAAGCAAAGCAAGGACTTAAATTGACTGGTCCGCTTCTAAAAAATAGGGAAAAAATTTTTATTCAGATAGGTATCAATTTTGTAGATTTGTTTTCATTTGATCTTCCTCAAGTCATGGCATTTGTCAGGATACTCCCCAAAAATATTGTGTGTGTTTTGTTTTTTTTTTGTTTTTTTTGTTTTTTTTAGCAGTTTGGAAGTGGGGTCCTATTCATAATATAAATACAGTATTAAATCGATCACTAACTTTTTAAAGAGTTATCATTACTTTATTTTTCTTTACAGATGTCAAGTTTGAAACTGTTTATTTAATTGATATCTATGATGTTGTCCTATTCTTAAGAATATGTGTTCTAGTGAAACAGTTTTTCTTCATATTTTACAAAAAAATTATTTTTAAATAAAGAACAGACAAATATAATTTAATGTGATTTATTTTAAGAAAATATTTCAAACAAGCAATAAGTTAATAAATCATTATATCCATTTTTTCTTTATTTAATGTAATAATTATACAACAATATTCAAAATGTGGCTTCAATAAAAACCCGCCCTCTTAAAAAATTACTTAAAAATAACATTTCATACGTACAGAGATTTCCCCCTGTATATCTTGTGAATGTTAAATTCTCCAGTCCCTTTTTCTTCATTATTGGCCAGATTTAACAAGGTTCTGTTGTGATATTTAATCAAAATTTTCCTCAGATTTCATCCAAATTTTTGCCATTTGTTAACATTCATTCGAGAAGTTGATCCTGAAAATTTCAGCATATTATCTCATTTCAAACAGATTTTATGCTACTCTGAAGATTCTAAAGATATTGAAAATTTTGAAAACATTGAATTCTCTGTTTTTTTAGAGACCTCTCACTGAAAGAATCTTTCATTGGTTGCATTTGGAACTCTTTTTCCTTCATTGCAACCATTATGTGTCTCATATTCAATCAACTAACCACACTCACCTGTCACCTGCTGCAAAAATCCCAACTGAAATTTTTAAAAATTACTACAAACCTTCTTTTACAGTTAAAATCCTGTATTTTGGCTCTGCTGCCACTGCATGAAGACACATACAAACCACCTCATCTTCCCTTATGTGTATGTTAAATGTTATCTCTCTCATTCTGATTGTAAATATAAGTTTCCTTGTAGTTCCTACTAGTACTGTCATTTTCCCCCCAATTCAGGTTCAGACTTAACATTTGTAAATAAAAACAAAGTACATATAACTCTTTAAAAAATTTAAGACCAGTTTGATGCTATATTATGAAGAGGACCTCCCCGCTTCTAAAATGATAAGAATCAATATTTTTTAATTCTGACAAATGTTGTGGCCCAAGGAAGATCTAATGAATGCTAATTCACAAAAATTATCCCCTCAAAATTTTTCCCTATTTATTTTACAAGGAGACCAGTCAGTTTAAGTAGTGTTATATTTACTAAGTGTTGTATTCTTAAAGAAGGTTACAAACAGACAAAGGTGGTACTCAAGTGAAAGGAACAGCAATATCGGCATAGATGAAAGAAAGAGAGATTTATTGTAAAAGAGAATACACTACTGAAAAACAGCAGTTTTTAACAGCGGTTAGCAGGCTAGTAATTCCTGAAACTAGTCTGTGCTTACTATATATATCTACTGATATAGTCAGTCCACATAAGCGATAGGGAGTGTAAGGCATTCCATTACAACACTAAACTTATTATGGCACAAGGCCATTCATTTTTGAGATTAGATTTCTCCATAATGGATCAGGGGGTTTGTTATACTTAACTTAGTCTGACACGAGGCCACAGATCTTGGGCAGCCAATGAGGACTGAACTCGATGTAGTC